AAGCAGACAGAACACCCTCTAAAAAGAATGTGTTGTATACCTAAGGGTAGTAAGTTCTTACTCTGGCACTCAGAATACTTTGTGCTTCTAATGCACATCTTTGAAATACTGGTCAAAAGAAAAATAGTTGTGGACTAACTACAGGTTTACCTTTTAATGAAGGAGATATGCAGTATTATTTTGAAGACACTTATGTAATACCACCATACAGTATTAACACTTACTTTAAATTTACTGACACTTAAGAATCTATTGAATGCCAGACCTCTCCAGATACATGAGGACTACAGGACGAGACAAATCTCATCTGGCTAACTCCATACTCTTGCCTCTTTTTCAGTACTTGTGTTGGATATTTGCTTTAGGCTAAGGCATTTGAGTTAACTGGTATTTTGGCTAGTTTTTAAGTTTTGTACCTCACAGGATAGACACTATGTTTTTGCTTCTTTTCTCCTCCCTATCTTTTTTATGTTTAAAGTAACTCTTTCATACTAACTCAGGGAATTTTCTACTCATTACTCTGTGCTGCTGGTTTGTACATTTAACTGGGTATAACTTGAGGGAGGAAGGTAGAGAGGGAAGAGACTATAGCAAGTGGAGTGGCTTTTCTTCAGGGCATCTATATGCAGAGTACCAAAGGGATATGTTAGTGTTCACAAAATGTAGATGTGATCTACTGTCCAGCAATGTGGTATTGAGTAATTGAAGAAAAGAGAAAGTTTCTGCTGAACTCGTACTGTACCAGAACTACTACAGTGGCTGTGATTCCTCTGTGTACACACACACAAACACACATGTATTATTAACAGAAAGCATCCTCCAATTGTACTGACAGTATCACTTGTACAAAAAAAAGTCCAGTTAAATGCTTACAGAAATCCAGTTCTGTCAGGCTTGTAGTGGAGTGAAATTCTCAGGTAATAGTGGGGGCAACTTTTTCTTCTACTATTTTTGAGTTCTAGAAGAAAATGCAGAGATTTATTCTTCTAAACAGGTGGATCAAAAATATATTGCAGAGTGAACTGCTTTATCACAATTAAGGTGCTAATTACTTAACTTTATGGAATTATACTATCTCCTGTGGAGTGGATAGTTTGAGGGTAGAAAGCTTCATTCATCCAACTCTTGGATGAAAATGGTGGTAGAGATATTAATAGAGGATTGATTTTTTTTTTTTTTTTTTTTTAAAAAAAAGACAAGAAGATACCTGACTTTCTCCTGTGGTAGAATATGGCAGGAAGGGGTATGGATGACAGGATTCTTACTACTTTAAAATATCTCCATAGTATGTGGGCTTAAGGCCTTTGTTTGTTTTATTTGTTCTTTTACCACCTTCTTCTCCCTTGTCTTAGTGGCAGCACTTAAAATTGTGTACCATCTAATGACAATGAAGTATTGTGAATCTTATAGAGACTGTTTTGAAAGCAGGGGCAATTAAGATACATTATTAATATTAAGATGAAGGCTTTATCACAGGAGAGGAGGCCTTACCGTAATGTTCAGAGTGGAGGGAGGGCAGCTGTGTTCATTCTTTCTGGGGCTGAACGATAACATGCTACAAAAACTTGTTTATTGTTGAGGAGAAGAAATCCTGTTTCTCTTGTTTTGGTTTTTGCAGAAATCCCAAATTTTGTTGTGGGCTTTTGTAGCATATATGTGCAAGTCAAGAGGGATAGGAGAGTGAATGAAAAAGATGACCCTCTCTGCTTTATGCTACAGAATCAACTTTGAAATAGGCGTAGTGTGGTCCATTCTTAATTAAAGTGCAAGTTGGTTTGGCGTTTTGTGTTGGTTTTTTTTTTTTTCCTCTCCTCTCTTCATCTCTTAATGAATATTTCCCTATGTCTGAGAGTAAAGTAGAGACTTTCCACCTCATAAGATGCCATGCTTTTTATTCAGCATTGTTACCTGTTTGAGAGGGAAATGGACTTCTGCCAGTTTCATTTTGTTGCAATGCTATATCCAAGTCCTCAGTGCCCTAACTACCTCTGATGCTATGAATGTACAGTCTTGTAATAGACCATGACTTGAAATAACAGCAGATGCCTGTAGCAATTTCTTCTGTAAAATCTTTAAATCAGCTAACTTGTCATCTTTATTTGTGACACAGCAGTATAGGCTCTTCCTTTCTGGGGTATTAGAAAATTTATCCCATAGGCATTTGATATATAAAAATTTAACTAATACTTAACACTGGAATTATAATGGGCGGGGGGCTTATTCAGTTAGTTGATACTGCACATTTGCATTTAATAGGGTATTTTTTATTTGACTATTTTAAGACATTAGGTCAACTGTAAAAAGATCCACTACATGCTGTTTGGTTTTAATTTATTACTTAGTCTGAGTTTTTTCTGACACTACAGCTGCATAATAACTACAGAGAAAATACACTGAACAGTTTCAGTATATTATTTAAAAAGGCTTTACCAGTGTACATGAAAAATACACTGTTCTTACTATTAGAACCAAAATGTGTGTTTTACAGCATAAATAAGAATGGTGCTCCTAAATGCAAAATGTCCAAAACAATGGAATCTTTGTGAGTGCTATGCATTCAATTTATTTTTAAAAATAAAACTAGTTTTGAGTAAGAAGGCTCCAGTGTGTATTATGCTTTTGTGTGTGATTTCTTAAATATGTAAACTGACCCTTTGCATCATCCCTGTGTAGGCTGAAGATGTAAGGACTTTCTTCTTTCTCCGTGCCCTTTCTGTGACACTATAATAAGCTTCAGGAACACTTTGACTTCACAATTAAAAAAAACAAAAAGGAAGGAAATCATGCAGGAAGGGGCTTTAAAAGTAATTGCACCCACAGCATATGCCAAATGCTGTGTACTTCAACAATGTGTATAGTGCACAGCTGCAAAAAATCAAGAACAAAAGTAGTGTAGTAGTTCAAGAGCAGAGGTAAATTAATTTTGTTCACATAAAAAAAGTGATACTGGCAATCTCATACTTCTAATACTAGAAATCATTTAGGAGATACGGTGCCTTTTGCCAAGAGCTACAAGTGCTTACATTATCTACTACCTGTAAAGGCTCAATCATGCCAAAGGCAGCATAAAATCATGTGATACATCCTACCAGAAATATTTTTGGATGCTTAAAATTTCTGATAACTGCTCCTTACTAAAAGAAATTCTAGTTCTTCCTAATAATGTGCAACATTTCACATTTGTAAGAAGGCTATGATTGTGGCTACAGCTCCAAAAATTAAGTAGGTTGCATAGAATTTAATTCCTCTAAAGCTACGAAATGAAATTGTGAGGGCTGTGTTGGCTTTACACATCGGAATAAACTCTGATTGTGAAAACCCTTCTGGAGGGCCTAGATACAGAGGGAAAGCGAGCTCTACTCTGTCCTGCTAAGGAATAAGGGCAATGCTCCAGTATGATAGTGGCATGCATATTACATTGATACTTTGGAAAGTTTTGTCCTCACCCTTAGGGCTGTAAAAGTCATCTGTCTAGACTCTGTCCTTGAAATCTCAAATTGTTTTTTTTTCCAATGTAATTACAAAATAGGAACTACCCATGACCTTTATGAGTCTGTAAAAACTACAAGGACTGCCAGCTACTTTTCACTTCAATATTTCAGTAGAAGTCTCAGCTTCAGATTTTAAATTGCAAGTCTGAGGCTTTTTGTTTGTACGTAACAAGAAAAGCTTTATCTCTGCTTCCCTTGACCCAGGTTCATTATTTACATTACATATGAGGATATTTATATTCTTCCAGCATTGCAAATTAAGCTAAAAAGATGAAAAAGCTAACATTTTAGTTACTGGCACATCACCAGAAATAAAGATTTTTTGCAACTGTAATATTGCTGTTAAGAATATATAAGCCAGAAAGTAATGTAGCATCCTCTTTTAATAATTTATTAGCGCTACGTTCCAAATGTTCACAGGAACAAAAGTCTCTTGAGTAGATAAGGCCTTACCTGACTGAACACAAGTGCCCAGTTAGTCTTATTTTATTACAAGGTTGTCCACAGCAATTTTTTAAAACACCAAGTAAAGCAGCAATAACAAAATACACAGTTATTTTTAGTCCCCATTACAATGATATTTTAGAAGTTATGGCACAAGCACATACATTTAGGAAGCTTACGTTACACATTTTGCTCTTTCCTTGTAGTTAAATGTTATGTAATAAATTTCTATAACTTCAATAAACAAGACATGCATTCTGACAAAGGAAAACATTTGCTACTAAACATTTAAAAAAACCCAACTTATAACTGAATAATTAACAAGTAACTATATAAAAAGTAGCTCCAGGTTTTAAAAATTCTCAGTGCAAGTAAGGATATGGGCTTCTGCTGCCAGTCCTACCAAGAGAAGAAGGGAGACTTAAGGAAAGAGTTAATTTTTTTCTAAGCATTATAATTTAACTAAAGGATACTTACTCATGATTGATCAGAGAAACTAAGTAGACCTACAAAACCAAAATATTCTGTGGATATAGATGAAAATACACATCAACAGAAAATTCTTTGCTGGGAATTTGTGAAAAATGAGTGCCAGTTTGATATACAGCTTCAATTACTAACTGTAAATGCATGTATGACATCTAGATATGGTATCTGATAACTGGGGAAAAAAATATTACAGCTGTAACTGCAACTGGAAAGGATTATTTAAGAGAAAAATAATTTTTACATCTCTTACCGATAACCACTCTATAGTTAAAACCTTTTCATATATAAAAGATGCTCTACTAGGTGTGCAATGCTTGTAGTTTAAATGAAGCATTTTATAATTACCTTTTATGGACTCAATCAGTTTATCTGG